GTAGATCTCCTCTTTGATAAAAGGAAGAAATTTGAATATAATTATATCAAACTTGTAGAAAAGACCATGGAGTCGAACAGTGGCCATAAATAGCCACCAAATGGAATGAGCAATTGCTTATGGCACATATATTATGCTCTGTCAACTTGATCGGATATTTCAAATTAAAATTGTATTTTTTTATTCTTTGTATGAGTGGTTTATTATTAGATTTGTTTTATAGAAATAAAGAAACATATTGATTTATATTCCATATCTGTATATAGTTTCCTCTTACTGAAATTTTCAGTTTCTCTTACTAAAATTTCCAGTTTGATTTCTTCTAAAAAAAAAAAAAAAAAAAACTATGAGACTTATCTAATAAATTCATTTATTTATACTTTTAAGTTACAATATTTATTGTGAGATATTTATTATAAAATAATATTTTTATGAAATAAATCAGTTTAAAAGAATTAAAAAGTTTACCAATTTTTTTCACCAAAAAAAATGTTTAACAATTCAATTTTAATATAATTAGTTTAAAATTCATTAACTACAATAATAATATAAATATTATTGGAATTAGGATATACTCATCACAAAAGGCTTAGAGATTAGTGACCGATTTGTCCATTTCTAAGTGCTGAAAAGTTGCTAATTTATTGATCAGAAACGAAAAGCATTAATGTATATCTATTTTTAGGAAAAGATTCTGATCCGTTATTGTTATTTTTTTAATATAATACATTAAAATTTCATTAAAAACTTTAAATTAATACAAATAATACACAGAAGACATGACTATTTTTCTGAAGACCATGCATAAAATAAGAATTATTATAACTAAAATAATTATCGTTCGTTGTTCTAATACGAGATCCTAATGAAAATTAAATGGTGAACTTGAAAAAATTAATAAATCTTTAAAGGAGTTGGTCGAACGAACTCCTTGAATCTTCTATACATGATCTAATTATTAATGAACTAGTTGCTTATGACGAATACAGAGGATTTGAACCACTAATCTAGTGGAGGAACATGTCACATTACCAATCTCAAAAAGACAAAGATTATCGTCAAATTAAAAAATTACTCACAAATTGTACACCTGTTCAATAAGACAAAACAAATGCAAAAAATCAATTAAATACTCCACAATAAAATGGAGAGATGATAAACTCCACGCAAGATGAATATAAATCACACAAAACAGCAGAAATATAAATAACTTGCATCAAAACTAAAAATTTGAGGAGGGACTGTCACAAGAGACAACGTATGTTTATTAACAAACTAATGGGATTCTTAGCATCAATACCTCCAAATGGGCTAAAGCAAGTATTTTGGCTAGACCAGCGTTTGTAAACAAACTCATCATAGACTAACCCTTTGTTTGGATGAATGCTTTTTTTTTTTTTTTTTTTTTTTTTTTTTTTTTTTTTGAAAACAATATCGGAGGAATTAATATTTCACTTATTTTCTATTTCGGCCCTCATGTTTTGAATCTCTTCAAATTAGAGGGAAAATAATGGAGAAAAGTGAAAATTTCACTCATTTTATTAAATTAGTGTCATACATAATCTTTTGGCTCTTTGGCCTTCACTTGACGTTGATTACTAGTTATAATAAGAGCAAATAAAATATATACAGTTATACAATATCCATGAAAATTGAAACCTGCACCAATTCGTATTTTGACAAAGAAAAAAATACAAGTTCTAGTTTTGGCAAACACGTTTCACTTTGCTATGTATTAAGATAAGAATATGGTCTCTAATACTAAACTCTGAAGATTTGGATCCATGTAGAATTGAGGAAATTTCAAATTTCGACTTCCAAGACATTTTTGTTTTGAAAGTTTAAGTAACAAAAACTACATTATGATACTAGTAAGCTTCAGAACCATAAATCTAAACAAATCATACATCTAAACAATTTGGAGTTCTTTAGAATATAAATCTAAACAAATGCAGTTTGATTTTGCAAGAATTCAATTATTTAGGGAAAACTAGTTGAAAACTCAACATCTTAAATCACATTTGTAATACATCAAACCATAACTCAGACCCGTCATTTTTATATTGTTCAAAAATGCAAAATATTAAGACAAATGGAGATATTTCAGAAGAGCAGTCGCAGTACCTGCGACTTCAGTTAGAGGAAGAAATCGATGGAGGTGTAATCGGCATTCTGAACAAACTCATTGGGGTTAGATGACGGAAATGAAAGTATAATTGGCAGCGGGATGCTTGAGTTTAGACTCTACCTACATCGTAGCTATAGGAAATATGAGAAGATAGGGGGAAAAAAAAATAGAAAGAGGAATACGCGACTGAAATCTCTAATTTTAATACTATATATTACCAACCGAATTTTACTCGGTAGTACTTAATATTTTTGTCGGTATTTCATTAAATCAAATTAGTCGGTAATTCTATGTTTACTGAATTCGGATATTCTTATTATCTTTTTAAATAAATTAGATGTTTCATAATCACCTAGAACTTAATTTATATGCAACTAATATTTGATATGAATTATGTATGATAGAGGGAGGTTGGACCTCCTCCAGTATGATATTTGATATATGGATAGTCACTGTATGGCTTGAGAGCCTTGATTATGATATGATACACCTTGCATTATGTAGATTTGCACATGAACTTTCACAAAATAATCCTACGGCACCCTAACTTCGTGGGGACTAATTATGCATCTTAAGTCCATATTTTGCATCAGTCATGCACCTATCTATGTTGGCAAATGCGCGTGAACTACACTAGTAATGACTAAGATAACTTAGTCGAAAATGAGGCTAATCTGGCGCTGACTAAGATAACTTAGTGTAAGGTTCATTTTGACTAAAACAATAAGCTAAACGGTCTTATTCAACTTTTACCATTTGCTAGTTTTATGTTTATTGGCTCTTTGGTGTTATTAGATTCCTTAAAATTTCTTAAAATTTATATATGCAGGTTTCCTTCGATCTCTCTGTTTTCTGTTTAAAGATTTCTTTGCTATATGCTACTCAATAATTCTTAAAATCCGATAATGGTTTCAGAGGATGATACAAGCATAAGAAAAGTAGAAATTGAAGAAGATGGAAGGTCCTCATATAGATTCTAGAGATTACTTCTTCGATAGAATCGGCAAACCAAATCCTATAATAAATGATCAATCTAAATTTCCTCTTTCCGATTTACAATATCCTCCCTCTCGTACCCTTGCCATCTCCGAGTTCCATCGCATTATCTTTGTTGTCCATCCTTTAGGGTTTTGCATTGCCAAAACAAATGACATTATGGACGTTGTTGTCGAGATTCTGGCCAACAGGAGTTCTGTTTGTTGCAGAAGCTAAAACCATCTTTCTCTTGCTCATTGAGCGAGTCAAGTGCTTTGGCCAAAGACATACAATGGAGAAGGAGATTAGAAGCTTCTTATCTTGTTCTTTCAAATCGTGGAAGCTATATCCTGATGTAATTTTTGCTTTGCAGAGTTTTTAGTGTACAGAGTTCATTTGAATATATGATGAACTAGGTGTTTGGTCCATGAGAAAACGGAGGAAAATGATGGCCTTAGTAGATTGGCTTTATCTGTTTTAAAAAATTCACGAAGAGGAAGCACAAAACAATTTTTCTTGCACTCCAGTTATTGACACACAGAGGGAGAGAAGAATTTTAAGCTGCTTTTCGGTAGAAAAAAAAAGAGAAAGTAGTTGTAAAATGAAAGAGAAAATGTTACAAACAGCCAATAACTCTAATTAACGCTCCTTTCGGCAATTGTATCCACGCCCTGCCTGCCAGCATGGAAAGGTGTAAGACTGATGCAAAAAAAATAGACTTGAGGTATATAATTAGTTACTTGCAAAGTTGAGAGTGCTGTAGAATTATTTTATGAAAATTCAGGTGCAAATCTATGTATTTGACTTTTGATCCACATATGATAATTGACTTAGAGGGCCCGCAATTGTAATATGATGATATTGCATGTATATGGGCCTGATGCCCAATATGGATGTTCATTGTGACAAGTTAGATAAAGGCTTACTACAGGCTTTGATGGGTCGGACTTTCCTAATGTCGGTCGGAGTTATGGAAAGAGATCATTCGTGAGGACTACGAATTTGGAAACGAGATTAGTTTTTTATATTTAAAAGGTACTAGCTTCATTGGAGAATAATAGTAATACTAATAATAAAACTCTTTCGAACAGATCTATTTTTTTTATTTCTTGCTTGATTTTATTATTTTTTTTTCTTTTTCAATATATTTTTTATTTTTAGTTATAAACTAAAATATAAATAACAATATTAATATATTATACTGAATCATGATGTTTTTTAACTAAAATAAATTCATTTATTAAAACTTAAAGATGCAAGATACGTATAATATAAAAAAAATAATAAACCATATCCTAATATAAAAGTAATAGCTGAAAATAATATATAGCCATCACTCGATTATGAATGAATGAATTACCCGTGTTGATACTATTGTACGTGTGGGTGTGCATTTGCCTATTATAATAATGATAAAATAATATTGTGTGTTAAAAGATGGTAAAAGTTAAATAGCTAAAACATTTTTTTCTTACTAATAAATTATAATTAATAGCAGAGAAGATGAGATATTAAACTGCTTGACTGCTCTTTCAAAAAACAAAAAAAAAAAAACTGCTTGAATGCTTTCAAAGATCGAAGTTAGGACCACCGAAAGTTTGTAAAGTTGGTTTTCATTAGGCTAACCCTTTGAGGTGATATATATTATTAATTGCCACGTCCTTATCAAAACTAAAAACAATCTCAAAAGACAAAATTATCACAATCTTAGCAAAAGTAATTACTGTTTAAATAAAAGTGAAAATTTGGAAGATTATATATAAGATATTTTTCACATTTTAAACCTGAAAAATTTATTAATTTAAATAAAGAAATCCAATTAATAGTAAGTCTATAAAATTAATTAAGTTCCACAGCTATATAGAGAGAGAGGGGTTAACAATTGAATGAAGTGTAGGTATCAACTGCTGATATAGTTAGTGCTCTGTTGTCTTATGGCTTTGGTTACTGAAGAAAACGTAGATGAGCTGCTTAAAGCTCAAACTCATATGTGGAATCATACTCTGCAATTTATAAATTCCATGGCTCTCAAATCTGCAGTTGAACTAGGTATTCCTGATGTTGTTAACGACAACCATGGCCAACCCATGCCTCTCTCTGATCTTGTTTCTGCCTTACAGGTTAACCCTGCTAAAACTCATCATGTTTACCGTCTAATGCGACTTCTTGTTCATTCTGGTTTCTTTTCTTTGCAAGAAGAAGGCTATTTGCTTCACTTCTTTCAATTCAATACCTTTTATATCTTTTATGCTTGACCCGATTCTAATGGACCCATTAACTTGCTTGAGCAAATGGCTTAAAAACGATGATCAAACACCATTTGTAACTACCTTTGGAGAGTCACTATTTGAATATGCAGGGCATGACATTAGGGCTAATACTATGGTGAATGAAGCTATGGCCAGTGATAGTATTTTTCTTGGTAAGGTGGTGACTGTTAAGTGTAGAGAGGTATTGGAAGGGTTGAATTCTTTGGTGGATGTTGCAGGTGGCACTGGATATATGTCTAGGGCTATTGCTAATGCTTTTCCAAATATAAAGTGCATTGTTTTGGATCTTCCACATGTTGTTGCTGTTGCTGATTCGCAAGGCGCCAAGAATTTGAATTTTGTTGCAGGTGACATGTTTCAGGCTATTCCTCCTGGAGATGCAGCTTTGATCAAGGTATGCTATTTCTTTCTCAGCTTTGATCAACATGTACAATTAACTTCTTCTCACTTGGGATGTTAGGCTTTAAGTTGCTGACACAATTGATTTGATAAACAGTGGGTATTGCATGACTGGGCTGACGAATATTGTGTGAAGATACTGAAGAATTGCAAAGAGGCAATAACAAGAAATGGCAAGCGAGAGAATAATAACAAGGTCATAATCATTGACATGGTGATGGGAAAGCTGAACTTTTGTTTGATATGGCAGAGATGGCATGCCTCACCGGCAAACAGCGAAATGAAGAAGAGTGGTCAAAGCTGTTCATGGATGCTGGTTTCACCAAATATAAAATTAACTATTTGCTTGGTCCTAGAGCTCTTATTGAGGTTTATCCTTGACCAATATCCTACTTATCTCTTAGAGCTTTGTGTTTGTAACCAAAATAGCTGTTGCCATAGCCATAACAGCCTGCTTAATAAAGTTTATAAGCCCAAAAGCTTTTCAATGTAAGTGTTTGATGAGAGTTTTTTCTTACTGTTAATAAAAAAGATTTCTCTTTGTTGTTCAAGATCTATATGTTTTTTGAGGGTTGATTTCAAGTGAAAACAAAAATTTTCAAAATCACAGACAAAACTTTTTAGAAAATGGAGATATTGTTAACCTATACATCACATTCAAGATAGCACAACCAATCTCACAAACCAATTTCATGAAATTTTCTTACCATATTTTTGGGAAAGAGTTTTTTTCTATATAAATACATTTCTTTTCCCACGTAAATCCATACCAAGTCATCAGCCCTTTCTTCAGCATCACTGTTAGAATGTTGACTTGTAGGAAGTGGAGATAAGTACTTTGGCTAGACCAACGTTAGTACACAAACTCATCATAGACTAAAAGATCCCACTCTGTAATATTATTCTTCAACAAACTTCTTAATGGATTTCCCAAGCTTCTATTCACAACTTCCTTTTGTTCATTAGTTTGAGGATGACAAGAATATGATATTGCTACCACCATATAATAAAAATTGAATATATACATAATTATATTATTGCATATACTGAATAAAACAAATCCATAATTTGTGTTATGAATTTCAAAAATTATGATGTGAAAAAAATTTTGTAAGCTTTAAATTTGTGAATGTGATGGCGACAAAAGCCTTACCCTAAAAAAAAAAAAAAAAAAAAAAAAGTTTTGACATAATAATTACTTTAATTTTCTATAGGTTAGTGGGAGAAATCGACAGAAATTGTTAAATTAATTCATGAATAAAACAATAATGTCAAAATCTTTATTCTAAAACAGAAATTTTCTTTAATGTAAAATAACAATTGAAAAAGAAATTGGTCATGTACAACAAGAAACAAGATTTTGGTTCTGATATATCGAATTAAAATAATACCGTATCATATGGAAAGAAGAAATAAACAAACATAATATCTAATTATTTGTTTATGATCTTGTCATAATAAGTGGTTTATGATCTTGTCATAATAGTAATTTATGATCTTGACATAATAGTAATTTAAATAAATAAAATATTTGTCTTACATTGGATTCTCATACCCGCTTTAAATAAAAATAAGTTTCAACTTTGTTGTCCCACTCCTAGTGCTCTCCCTTTCTCCGAAAACTTAAAATTTAAAAACTCTATTTTCTTTTTGCACGGGCAGTATAGGGAGTGGTCAACTCTTTTTCCCTTTTTTATTTGGAAAGTGGTCACAGTTAAGACTTTTCTCTTCTCCCTGCGGGTGTGTTTAATGGGAATTGAGCCTGAGAGCTCTTACCACATCCCCGTTTGCATTGACAACTGAGTCATAACTCGTAGTTCCAATTGAATTATTTTAATTTATTATTTAATATCAACTTAAGTATTTTAATTTATTATTTACTATAAATTATCCACCTTTAAGTATTTAAGCTGTTTACTCAACTAAAATTCAGCTATGATTAAGTTTTTTCTCTACTTTTTTTCATTTTAATTGGCCAACTTAAATATTTTAATTTATTGATTAGTATAAATTATCCGTATTTAGCTATTTGAGTTGTTGAAATTATATAGTCAACTAAAATCTGCTACAATTTTTTTTTTTTTTCAATTCAACGTCTATATTAACATTCAACTTATTAAAACACGTTTTTGCACTACAGCCTATATATTAAGAATTCGGAGAAAGAAAAAAATTTGGGTTTCACCAAAAATTTATATATTCAACTAAAATTTAGTATCCTTTCAACACTAATGGTTTCTCCAAATCCACAATGCTTTGTATTTTTTTAAAATTATTTTACTATGATTTGAATGTTAGCATTTTTTTAAAATTTAATTTATTTGATTTGGATTTGGTACTTTTTTTTTAGAAATTTTTTAGTTTTTTCATTTATTTTTCTTTTGTATTGTGATTGGACCACTTAAATTTTTTTTCTTTTCTGTATCTACTTACCTATACCTATGTGAAATCTCGTCTATTTATTAGTTTTTATCTCTACCATTTTGTCATCCTCGATAAAGAGTGTCATCATTTGTCCTCTATTTCATTCATCTATAATTAAGGTCAAGCATTCTATTTGAAGGCATGTGTAGATGAAAGGTCAAGGTCAAGGTCTTCTTTTCTCTCACAATAGACCAGTCTTAATATAAAATGCCAGCTAGGATTTTTGACCATGATTTCTCACAATTTGTTTGAACAAATGTGTTTGTTGGGAATTTTTAATTTTCTCAAATTTTGGTTGTTCATTATAGATGTTTTAATTGTAATAATTTATTGAAAAATATATATTATATATTTCTATTTAAAAAATATTATATATATATTAAAAGCTACAATCTGCAGCTCCATTTCTGATCACCTCCACTCCTTTCCATTCTTCTTTGATGATCCAACACTTTAAATAAGTTCTAAATAATTTCTTTTTCCTCTTAATCATATTACCTAAGCTAATTTCTATTTTATCAAGTCGCTTATGAAAAGCAATAGTTGGGATTTTATATTTGCATTGTTGTAACAACTTCCACCTCCGGCTAACGCCGGTCAATTATCGGCAGCAAAAAAAAAGTGAAGTGTAAGCTCTTTGACTTGCAAAGCTAAACCCCTGATCACTCGATTTTTCTATTCTTTTCAAACCATTTCTTCAATGGAAAGGAAGAATATAAGCTGTCGTTGTCTGTTGCAGCATCAACTCTAGCCATAGTTCAACAAAACCAGCCACTAAAATTTGATTTTTGACCTCTTCTTACTTTTTCCTCCATTAGTTCTGAGTTTATTTGACCCATTATTTGATATGTATATATATGTATGTGTGTGAGAATAGAGGGAATAATGAGATTTCTGACAGTGCCTATACTAAAATTTAAAATATTCTAAAGTAATTTTAGTGATAGCTAATTGAATTTTATTTCAAAAATTATCCTTAATAGATTCAAAAATTATCCTTAATAGATAATTTAGCATTTAAAAATTTTAATTTTTTTTTATATTTGTTCATAATACAAGGAAAATTTACTAGACTTATACCATTATTTTTATTTTTTTTCCCCTCGTTACCCCTCACCTGTTGTACCTAAAAAAAATGATTTAGTTTTTTTTTTCTTTTACATGATATATATATAGTATAGGTAGATTTATGATCTACTAAATTGAAAATGAACCAACCACTAAAGTATTTATTCCTTTAAAAAATATTAATTTTCACTATATAATTAAAAATAATAATTAGTTCATACTTTTTGATTGATTTTTTAAAATTTTTTTATTATTTGCTTTTTAATTGGATTGGATTTATTACTATTTCGTTTCTTTATTATGTCATAATTTCCATTTTTATATCAAACTATTTATAATTTGATTTAGTAATAAAAAAATATTTAGTAATTAAATCAATACAATAAAATAAAATCTTTATTAGGTCTTTAATATATACAATGTCTTAAAATTAAAGGGTAAACCATACAAAAAAATAAAATCTTTATATTATAATTTATAAAATATTTTTACAAATATTAAAATTTCTAATTGAGTTTTCTTTTAGTAATAGAAAAATCTATTAGTAATAAAATCAATAAAATAAAATCTTTATCAATGTCCTAAATTTAAAGGGTAAGACCATACAAAAAATAAAATTTCATGTTATAATTTATAAGATATTTTTGCAAATATTAAAATTTCTAATTGAGTTGATATTCCTAATTAAATCAATATTTTTCATTTGTTAATATAATTAGTTAAATTAAGGAAGGACATAAACGAAAATAAAATTCCTATTCTATTAGTAGTCTATTCAAGGAAACATTTCAATTTAATTATTATCTTATTCAATTCAATTAGGGAATGGTTCTTTTATTTTTTTTTTCAAGCAATCAAATCAAAAATTTTTTTAATCAATAAAATTAAAATGCTTAAAGTATATTTTTTTTATATATTTATATGATTTGATTGGATATATTTTTTAAATAATAAATTTTTAAATAGAATATAGATAATATTTTATTTAGGAGAAAGATTAAAAAGACAAAAGTATATATTTTTTATATGGTTGTAGAGAAAATTGAAGGTTTATTTGGTGAGGATAAAACGTTTCTTTTATGTAAATTTTTTCATTAATTAATTAACTTATTTATTTATTTTAAATATACAACTTAAAATAATAGAGAAATAAAATACTTGAATAAACTTATTAACTGACTAATATTGGATCCTAGCATAATTTGCTCTGCAATTTCCTTAGACTTTTATTTTTTGTCCAATAACATTAACTTTCATAAAATTATGGCCTTTCGAGTTGAACAAGAGGTTGATTTTTGAAATTCAAATTGGAAATTTTTTAATATAATTTGTTTCTTATTATATTTTGAGTTCTAAAAAGAGTTTTGTTTTTAATATTAATTTTTTATTTTTTATTTTCTTTTTCATTACAGAAATAATTTTTAACTACTATCAATTTAATTTAGTGAAAGATTTATATCTCTCTTGCTTGATGAGTTAAGTATTTCAATTTTCTTAATATTTTTTCTCTTTTATTCTAAATCTGTTTGACTTGAAAGAAAATAATGTTTATGAAACTAGAAAAAAACTAAAACTATGCATTTCTATTTTGGATCACTTTTTGAAGTTTCAAGAATTTGTGTGTATGTGCATATATTCCTTGCTCTAATGCACTGGGTAAATAATATTGTCACTATAGCCAAGTGATTATCATTATCGATTTAGATCATCTTCTCATTTTTTTTTACCTAGCAGTAAGAAATAATTTATTATTACTTTTCATTATATTTGTATATAAATATTGATTTGTGGTTAAGGGCAATGGTTGGAGCTTGAGTGATGGCTTGATTTTCTTTTTGCATACTTATTCGGGTTTTAAGAATTTACATTTATAAATCAGGGACTGAAGGATTGATTTTTAGGAATGGGTGTTGCAGTTTTTAAGTAATATTTTAAGAATCTGCATTTATAAATTAGAGACATAAGAAGTAACATTATAAGTAACT